GTGTGTGTGTGTGTGTGTGTGTGTGTGTGTGTGTGTGTGTATGTGTTGAGCCAGTGGCTATATCTTGGCTTCGCCCATGCAGGTTGGAGGAGGATGTTATCTGCTATCCTGTTCTGCTCCCTCCACTGCAGTCCTTTAAGACAGGGTCTTTTCGGGAGCTCGGAGCCAGGCTGGTGACCGCCAAACCCTCCTTTGTCGGCTTGGCTTCCTCCAGCACTGGAACCACAGGTATGCGCGGCTGTGCCCCACTATTGCAGGGGATTTGAAACCAGTTCTTCAGGCTTCTTCAGCAAGTGCTGTTATCGGATGAGCCGTCTCTTTAGCCCCATAATCCATGGGTGATTTAAAGTAGATGAGAGTAGGTTGAGCAAGTTGGTTCAGAGGACAAAGGAGCCTGTCCCCAAGCCTGAGCACCCAAGTTTGATTCCCAAGACCCACTTGGTAGAAGGAAAACACTGACTTCCCTAAGTTGTCCTCTGCCATCCCCACACTTTCTGTGGTACATTCTCATCCACCCACCCAAATACCCAAAGTAAATAAAACAAAAGTGAAGTATATGAGAGAATGTGCCTAGAAAATATGCAAATATTACATATGCCATTTGCATAAGAGAGTTGAGCATCTGTGAATTTGGGGATCCATTGGTGTCCTGGAGCCAATTCCCCACCCCCACTCTATTGCTGTACACATGCAATGTAGCACCACCTCCCCCTTGCACTTCTCCTGCTTCCCTTAGCGGGGCCTGGTGCCTGGTGAAGCCACCCCAGCCCTCAGATCTCAGCTTCAAGGCTGCTAAGGTGGCTGTGACAACGCACCGGGCACCTTTGCACTCGGCGTGCTTTCTCCCGTCTCGGTGGCACTGCGCATGGAGTGGCTTGGCAGCCACGGGGGTGAAAAAAAAAATGAAGCTAATCTTTAACTTTTTCTCCTCCCCTTCTCAAATGTGCGAGACAATGAGAACAGACTGTGACCTCTTTGTGAAAACAGAGTAAAACCTGAAACAACAGCACGCCCAGGTGTCACCCGTGGGATTGTAAGTGTTCCGGGTTCTCCTGTAGTACGTTGCCCAGACTTCCTCAGAGTGCCTTCCTCTTTCTCCTGGTTGAATTTTTCTTGTGGAAGAGTCTGCTCCTCAGCGATCCATGCAGTGCTTGGTTTGAGCCTGTATTCTGAAATATTCACTCCCTCAGCCGGCTCAGAATCTGGACTAGAGTCTGTTCTCAGTATTCTACTGTCCATATCTATTGGATCAAAGGAAGATTCATCTGGAACCCAGTTGAGGTTCTTCCAGATGGTGAGCTTGCATCCAGATGGTGTGTTTAATAGGAGAGAGAGGAGAGAGAGAGAGAGAGAAAATGCTACTGCGTACCAGCCTCATGCTAAACAAGGCCCTGTGACCTTATTTCCCCCAGGCCTCTTCCAAATGCAGAATGATCTCAGGGGCTATAGGGGCTCATGAAAATCTTTTCCCGATTTTGTTATGAAATTAGGAGGCTCTGGCTAGTTCGAGTGTTGTTCAGAGTCAAATGCTGATCATTCTTAATCACATGCCGGCCTGTGGTGGCATGGTTCTTCCTCTTTTTGAGGCTGAGATGAATTAAAATCCCCCCTGAAACTCCAAGAGACATCCAAGAGCTGTCCAGGAGTCACCTACCAGACGCACAGGTTCAGCTGACCTTAAAATGCGAATGGCTTTCAGCAAACCTGAGCTGTTCTTCCAGTGCCCTAGAACCGAAAAACAACCATTCCCACCATGGCATAAATGTACCTGGTGCACATCACATGGGTGCGGAGAAGGGGCATAGGGGGCTCCCTTTTGGTTGAGGGGTGGGCACTACCCAGTGTGGCACGTGGACTCAGCAGCAAACTTCCCGTACAACAAATGCACTCTACTTCCTCCACTTTACCTTTGCAAATTCCTCTGGCCTAGACTTCTCAATACATGCCTTTCTGTGGTCCAAAACTTCCTACTTGTTCAACAAGCCAGTATTCATTCTTTCATTCACTAAGCACAACTCCTGAGCTGGAAGCCAGGGACACAGAGGAACAAGAGTGAGCAAATGGTTACTGGAGCCCAGACCATTCAGTCCGATGTCCCTTCTCCAGGCCACTCTTCTGGGTCAGCAGGAGTCACACGGTGGCACTTGAACCTCTGCCCTGTGCTTATCTGTCTGTACGACCTGCAAGCACCAGGCCAGTCGCTACAAAGGTCATTTTGGGGTAACCCCAATTGACCATACCAGCTACGTGCCTGTGCTCACAGCCGCTGGCTGTCAACCCAGCAACCAGGACTGGAAGGTCTGGACCTCGGCTAAAGTTCCCGCAGGCCTGGTTCCATAGTCAGCACCGGTGGCTCATTCAGCTTTATTTGCTTTCCTTTTGGTCAGTTTGGTTACAGGGCTTTGTTAGGAGCCCAGTGGCCAGCTACACCTGCTTAGGGTGAAAGGGTAGTAAGTGAGAGGTCACAGCACTCTGACAAGGCTGGGCTGCTCAACAGACTGGAAGTCCCTGGCCTCAGCATTCTTGGAGAGGGTGTAGCGTGGGGACCTACAGCCTGTAGGAATGCAGAATGGAGAAACTGGAGCAGAAATTGCTGTAACTTGGACAGTACTGAAGTTTGCATTTGAAATATCTTGGAAGATGGCATTTTCTGCCCAAACGAGAGTCAGTGCTGTCCTTGTCTGTCTCGTCAAATACGGGGAAAGCCCAAACTGCTGAAAATATGCATAGTGATGAAGAGAATTCGGGCTTTCAAGAACATGGGACCCTCTGTCAGTACCTACTCAACTATACACAGTGATCAATCACTTACATCCTTTTTTTTTCTCTTTCCCAGACTTTTAGGGCAGGGTTTCCCTATGTTACCCCAGATGCCTTGGAACTCACTATGTGGATCAGGCTGGTCTAGAATACATTGACTGTTCTCCTGCCTCTGCCTCTTGAAAACTGGGATTACAGGCATGTGCCACCTGCCTAGCTTTCTTTCCATTTCTTTATACCTGGTTTTCTTTTCTTTCTTCCTTTCCCCGGACCCTGTATTTGGGCATGTGTATTTGGGTGTGGGAGTGGTAACAGGGTCCTTTTAGACTTACTTCAAACTCCTGATCCCTCCGTTTCAGTCCTGAGTGCAGAATGTGTGTGCTGCCACAGCTTCCTGTATGTTTTCAAGCAAACATCTTATAAAGATTTAAGGTCATTTAAATTCTTTCTAGCTAACAGGGCTGGTTTTGGTGTTCTGGCTGCAATAAAGCCCGTCTCTTCTTTAATTCACATGGGCTCTGCCACTAACTCCTGCCCGATTATTCTGAAATTGATGAGCCTTTCCTGTAGTCATGGAAAATCAGAGCGTTGGAAGGTGCTTTGAGGTCATTTAGCCTCTGGGCAGAGCTGTTCTTAAAACCATTTTAGACCCACGGTGGCTGATACTGTCATCTTGTACCCCCATCATCAGCCCTATTAAGCGATGCCACCCTACCTATATCATGCTATATATTTTTGCCAAGTCCCCTGACCCTTGTTTGAATTATGCCCTCCACAGTCCTCACAGGGTGACCTCCTGCTATCCAGTGAGGAGTCAGAGGCACCACGAGGCTTTGATTGGCTGATGCTTCACAGCTACTCTTTGTAAAATGGGAAGGGAAATTGCTCCACGTAGCTCATGTGAAAAAGTGCCCAGACTCTTTCCCCTGTTGAAACTCCCTGTTCACAGGGGCTTGAGAGACAGTTTCTGCCTCTCCTGTGTGTAAAACTTGGGAGCCCATTCCTTAGGTTCTGGAAGATGCCCCAGTTTCTGGAACACTGCCCCCTACTGTTGACATGGAAAAGTCCAAGGGGGGGGGAAGAGCACGGAGGAAGTGAAATGCAGGAGGAAGCATTGTCTGATGCCCTTGTTCCTACAGAGTACTGGCAAGTGCTGTCCTTAGACACATGCCTCACTGTCTACTCAGACGCAGACCAATGCAGCACTGGGCAATTACCTCGGTGGAGCGGTGTGCTGGTATAGAAATAACAAAGCCAATTCTTGTGTGATTGTTAAATAGGCAACGTGCTGGGCACCATCCCTTTTCATCTCCACATGAACCATGGAGGTCAATCATATTACTCTTTGCAATCTGTAGAGAAAGAATTGAAATTAGAAAGACAGAAGTCACTGGCATCAGTCCCTTTGGCCCACGCACTGTCTCATTCCAGAGCTAGCCCCCACCAGTGTTCTGAATTGCCTCTCCCATGATCCTGGGAACAATGCAGCACGAGATTCAGCTTCCCAGCCCAAGAGCATGGCCCACTGCTCTTGTCATGCGCAAGTCCATAATATAGTAGAGGCAGACACTTCACCACTGAGCTATATTCCAGCCGATTGAGTTCACAATGTCTATCCCACTGTCAAGTCTGAGCTATTGGCATCTCTGACACTGTAGTTTTGAGTCTTTGTTTAGGACAGAACACTTCTTTGCCTAGAGAGCCTGCAGCCTAAGATGGGCATGCAGCATCATTCCTAGGAACTCTTGACATGTCTCTTGGCAGAACATAGAATCACGAATTTCATGGTCTGAAAAGAGTGTCAAAGCCTAGTGTTTAAAAGAGTGAAAAACCACTTCCTCTTGAGTTTTTATTCATTCTCTTACAAACAATTAGAACAAGAGCACAAACTCTGTGCTAGGTAAAATGCTGAGCAGTAGACATAAGTACATGATGGTCCTTGTCTCTCAGAACTTGACATCTAGGACAGGGCCTGATAAACAGCCTCTAACTGTTTTGTAAATAAAACTTTATTGGAACACAGCCATATTTTTTCATTTGCATATTGCCTAAGGCAACAGAGTTGAGTAGCTTTGATAGAGATCCTATGGCTTGTGAGGTCTAAAATACTTACTATCTGAACCTTTATGAAAAAAGTTCATTGACCACTCTCTTAGTGAGACAGAGAAGATTCATGGGGACAGAGGTTTAAACACTACTAAATATTCTTGGTCACTGGTAAATGTGGTTGAGAATGCAAGTTGGGTATTTATTACTCTTTTTCTTTGAATAAAGCTGTTGGAATAGACCTTTGACAGATAACTCTTCTGCCTGAAAGGCCTGAGAGGACAACTGTCATCTGAGCAGCTATCCTTGGAGTGACTTAATGGACAGTCACAACCGAAGTCCACCTGTTCCTCCATGGACACCTTAGAAGACTCCAGGTGCAAAGAATTTTGCAGCCAAAGCTGCAAGTCCTGCTTCAGGAGGTCTTGCAACAGTCATGACTACTCCAGACAGCCTATTTCAGCCTTGGAAGGCAGCCTTCTAGGCAAGACTCCAGAGGAACCCACAGATATTCTCAATCGCTCTGTTCCCTCCTTAGTAACTCAGTAAGAAGGCGGTGATTGGTGCAATGCAGGACTTGCAATTGGTCCCTCTGCGGGGCCTGTGATTGGTGGAATTCCAAGTGTGCTATCACGGATGCGAGTGCAACCCTCCCTGTGCACATCACACCCATGCCACAAACACCTCTCTCAATTATGTAACCAGGCTGTTGAGTTCATTTTCCAAGCCAGCTACAAGATAACTCTCACGTGATGCCCTCCAGTGGTACATTAAGCCCTGCAAAAGGCTGCTTTTCCAGAATGGTCTTCCCTTGCCTGCTTGAGACCTGTATTATGAATAGAGTCACCTAAGCTGGAAATACAAAGAGGAGGCGGTGGTGGAGTCAGCAAAGGATGCAGCAGCAGCTGTAGAAGCCATAGAAGGCTGCAGAAGGACAGAGCACCAACAGAGAGCAGACAGGATTGAGATGATGGAAAAAGGTGGGAAGAGGCATGAAGCCAAAGCTGTTAAAGGCTCTGAAGAGCTACAGATTAGAAGCTGTAGGTTCAAGCCCACTTAAGGGTTTCAGGGAGCTGCCAAAACCTAAGAACCAACGGTCAAGATACCCAAGATTTGGGAATTGTAATGGCTTCACTTTTAGGAGCTAAGAGTCTTTACATGCAGCATACCTTCTGAGGCTACAAAGAGGTATGATTGATAGTTACCAGGGACAGGGTCACTGAGAGTTAAGGTCCAGGACCGAATCATCAACACCTGAAAGAGCACCAAGAACAGTTAATCTCTCTGCCTCATATTGTCCAGTTCAGGACCCAGAGCCACAAGCCTCTGGTCCATTAGTCCAGTCCATGTATGGGACCTTAGCCCAGAACCACCGACTGATTCAACCAGGCTTTGCCTACTTGCAATTCCCACCTTGATAGTACAACAGATTCCACAGCCAGATGATTGGTCAAACTGGAGTCATCTTTTCTAAGGCTGGCCTGGAGATATGGCTCAGTAGTAGAGAGCTTGTTTAACATACAGAGCTCTGAGTTTGATCCCTAGCATGGCACAACTAGAGTGTGGTGGGCCACTCCTGTGAGCCCAGCACCTTGGAAGAGCAGAAAGATCATGAGTTCAAGGCCATTGTAGATTCGCAGGGATTTCAACGCTATCCTGACATATATGAGACTCTGTCTAAAAGAAAGAAAGTACATGTGATCATCCCTAAACTGGTCAGCCATGATGTTTTCTTAATAAGAAGAAAGTCACCATTGACATTTACTGAGTGTTTGCTACCTGCCAGGTAGTGATTCGTACACTGTCCACATATTAATAAAGTTTATACCATAACCATGCTGTGGTAAGCAGTATTGTTTTCTACATCTTACTTAGTCTTATTGATTTGGGATGCTGGATCCCAGGGCCCCACACATGCTCTCCAAGTGAGCGATACCCCCAACTCCCGATATCCTCTTTTTGCAGCTAAAGAGTGGTTGGGCAAGCTGAGTGCCACAGCCCTGGTAACCTGGTACGTGTTCTTCTCTGCTACTCTGAACTGGAAAAGACAGCAGCAGGCTGTGGGCTGTGCCCAAGCAGATGAGAGAGAGGGAGGGAAATCCACCCAGGAAGTGACCAGGCAGTGTGGGCCTAGTGTCTGCTGGGTCTATTCTTAGCACTGAGAAAATCCTGGAGGTTGGATCTCTCATGAGGAGAGGATGGAACTGCTACACGTTGCTCTCTAGGTCTCCCTGAAATTAAATAAAGAGCTCCTTGCAGGCAGATGCATCCAATGTCTCCACGGATACTGAGCAGTAGAAGATGCTTTGGAACTCAGTGGGGGTGACAAGAAAAAGCATGGGTTCCCTTTGTCAGAAAGAACAGGCATGAAGAAGGACCCTCCTCGGGGCTGAGTCCCATAGCATTTTTCAGATATTCCCATGATCCTAAAAGTATATATTTCTTTCTGTCTGCACTAACCCTCACCCTACATCCTCCTTTCAACCCCACATCCAGCACATCATCTCCACTTCCCTAACAAGTTCTTTCTAGGAAACTGGAGACCTTTCATGAACCCTGGGCTGTGTCTGCATATGTTAGATGTTTTTGGGGTGCTGACTGACTGTCCACCTTGATTCCTTTTGGGGGGTGGGGGTGGGGCAACATGGTCTCTTACTGGCCTGGAGTTCTAGAAGTAGGCAAGTCTGGCTTGCGATTGAACTCAGGGACCCACCTTGCTCCTCCTCCCTAGCTTTCATATTACAAGCTCAGCACACCCAGATTTTATAGCTATATACTGGGTGATCCTACTCAAGCTCTTGTGCTTGCAAGGCAAGAACTTTACCAACTGAGTTATCTCCTCTGCCTTCTCTTGGGACTCTTGGTACATAATGTTAGGATCAGAAAATGGTACATGAGTAAGTCTCATGTCTCAGCAGGTTGGTAGTTTACTGCATTTAAAAGCAAGGAGACACAAGCCTCAGACAGCTTTGCACCTACCATGAAGGCAGAAGCCCAGGTCACTGACTTTCTTAGGGAACTGCTGTTAGTTTACAACTATCTGGGAAGATTGGCTCCCACTGTGGCTATCCATGCAGCACCATTGGTTCTGTCCATAGGAATTTGTAGACCTGTATTTTACTGTAAGATTGTGCTAAGGTTCTTGTCTGCACCTCCCATGTACCTGGTCAGCTGGAAAAACGACACATGGTGATGGATGATGTGTGAACTCAGAGCCATGCACAGAGGCTGCCTCCCTGTGGGAGTCTGCCTTACCGAAGGTTTCTCTGAACATGGCGCTCTGTATCTACCATTCCTTGTAACTGAAGCCCTGCACTACGTGTATATGAGCACTATGAGTTTTCTACTTTATATTGCTTATCTCAGAGGTCAGCCTGAGCCTTTGCTGGAACCTTGACAGAACCTTTGCCTCAGAAGCAAATCTTCATAACCTCCGGATGAGGCATGGGATTGCAACAAAGTCTCAGACAGGAGCTACTCACTCTGTACCATGCCGATTCGCTGCAGCTCCCTGCCATCCTGGAAAATCTTTGGAAGGCCTTGAGTTTTCACACACAAGCACTACCAGCACGGTGTTTGTGGAATACCTAAATAGCCTGTCTCTATAGAATTAGCTAGACAGACAGGATTGGAGAACGTCGAAGCTAATTATGCCTCCTGTAAAATGCAGCTTCGCTCCAAGGAGGGAGAGTGCCAGGTGTAGGTTTTTTCTTCATGCCTTGTCTGTCTCATGCCAAGATGCATTCCAAGCTGCCCCTTTGTTCAAGTTTCTCTTTCATGAAATGACTTTATTCTCTCACAGCTCACTAGTAACTTTAACACTAAAACACAGAGTTAAGGGTAGAGATGGTTCATCAGTTAAGAGCACATACTGCTTTTGCAGAGGACTAGGGTTCTGTTCCCAGCACACCTTGGGCAGCTTATAACTCTAGCTGCAGTGTACCCAACACTCTCTTCTGCCCTCCAGGTCACCTGCATTCACATATACACACCCACCTAAAAATACAATTACACACACACACACACACACACACACACACACACACACAGAGAGAAAGAGAGAGAGAGAGAGAGAGAGAGAGAGA